GTGGGGGGGGGGGGCCACCGAATCCCGGACGAGCCCGCAAATGTAGGACCCCCCCCCCAGACTGGGGTACCCTACGTTCTCGGGAGGTCGCACCCCAATAACTCAGTCTTCAAACCAGAAGATGCAATTGCAAGAGGGTTTAATCGTCTAGACAGAACCCCCCTTAATCAAAAGGGGAAGTGCAGATTCAGTTTAGAAGCTAGGTTATATAGACAGAAACCACAAACCACAAGAAGTAAGGGGCTGGTATTTAGGTCACAATAGGAGCTTGGTTACATGGTTACAGCAGAAATGGGAGGGGGGATTTTTCAGGTATTTTTCCAGCTTGATCAAAGGAGCATGAAAAGGTCAGGTCATCTTTTCTTTTCTATAGTTAGAATTATTTTTCTTTTGCTTCCTTGTACAGTTTCCCAGAATATAGCTTGGGAAACTTAGTTTTACTTTAATCTGGGGGGCTTTGATTTATGATTCCATCAATGTTGAGAATTTCTGTGGTAATATTTCAAGATTAACACTGATTTTTTTATTAGTAAAAGAAAAAGGTTGTTATTATAGCAACCATCGTTTATATGTTTTTGCTTCTTGCTGTTTGTGCTTTTATAGATGGAATCCCACTGAAATGGGCCAACAGCCCATGGAAAACAGATGATGCAGAGACCCAAAAGGTCAGTGCTTTGCCACAATGGAAGATCACTCCACACCTATCACCCCCTCCAAGGCTCAGAAACTTTTGCAGAAGAGGTTGGTGGAAAGAATGTAAGAGCCAGAGAAAGGGGTGGAGTGTTAACTGGAAGTGTCCTCCAATCACTATGCAGGCAAGCTATAGTCACACCTTCCCATGCTTGTAAAGGAGTCAAGGGGGAGTCAGTTACTTCTCCCACCCAATCACTCAACCTTAGCTGCATGTGGCAGAGGGGCTAAGGATAGATAATCCAAGAACTCCATGAGGCACCTTTCTCACCATTTTGTGTGGCTGTTGGGAAGTCACAGGATCTATATTTGAGTGTGGATTTTCCACGGCAGCCATAACACCCACTCTTCTGTAAAAAAAAAAAAAAAAAAAGAACTAATGGAAACCATTATTCCTCCAAAGTTGACCCAAAGTTGACTCCATGTTGGCAAATCCCTTGGTCTTTGATTTCTTATTCCTATTGCCCCCCCTTAAACTTCAGTGTGTGTGTGCGTGTGTGGGGGATGTGGGTGTGGGTGTGGGTGTGTGTCTGTTGTGTATTTTATGTAACCTGCTTCAAGTTATTTCTGGAAAGATGTGTTAAAAATTGCCTCTCTTTGGAATGAAATAAAATGGAAAAAATTAGTGACAAAGGTAATAAGAAATAAATAAATGCTTCAATTAATTCAAACTTTAAAAGTGATAGAAAAGATACACACAGAAATACATCATATACAAGGTTCACAGTACAAGGAATAAGACAGGTTCAAGTATTTAGATAATCACAATATCCACCAATTAAAATAATTTGTCAAACTAGATTTTCAAACTATAGCTTTATGATATTAAAAAAATAGATAAAACCTATAGACAAGGAAAGGATGAGAGCAAAAATGATGAAAACTGTGAGTTATAATGCCAAAATATCTTGCCCAGAAAAATACCACTCTTTCTTGTTGTAATTTTCAATTTTCAGTAACTTTTTTTTTTTTTCCTTTTTTTGAGACAAGGTCTCATGTAACACTCACTATGTAGCCAGGAATAATCTTGAATTTCTGATCTTCTAGAATCTACCTCTCAAGTACCAGGATTACAGGTGTGTCCCACCACACCCTGTTTTTATATGCAGCTACAGATCAAAGCCTAAGCTTCATGCTCACGCTAGGCAAGCACTCTACTAACTTAGCTACATTCCCAGCCTCCATGACTCTTTTAAATTTACTTGTCTTAAGTAGATTTTAAGCTTGAGAAGATTTTTTTGACAATGTTCACAAAACGTGGTGCACACCTGTAATCCCAGCACTCAGTATGCAGATAGCTAATGCCAAAAGTTTGAAGCAAGCTCAGGCGCCTAGGAAGGGTCTGTGACAAAAAGAACAAAACAAAACAAGAGCAAGTGGTAAGACAAATGCATCACTATTAGCCTAACTGAAAGATTTACAATATTTTTTGTGAAACTAGTTTGTAATCCTAGTCTCAGTTTATGTGGTTGCACATTGCACCTCCCTACATTAATATCCTCAAAGTTTTTAACAACTTCTATGTGAGGCAAGCCTAAACAAGGTGACAAGTATTTTTCCTTGTTTTACAGTACACGTATTTAATTTTAATTATGCATATATATGTGTAATTTAAAAATAAATACATGTGTGGATATGAAAACCATATATTTGAGAGAGAGAGAGAGAGAGAGAGAGAGAGAGAGAGAGAGAGAGAGAGAGAGAGAGAGAGGGAGACAGAGAGCTGTCTTCATTGTATGGACAAAACTGTCTTGTTTCCACCAGCAAGTACCACCAGAGGTCACCAAAGGACCAGTAGTTAGCAAAGAGGCGTCCTTGAAACAACTGCAATGACTATTCATAGTATTTTCCAAACCTTTTCACAGTATACCTGACTTGCATAAATTTTTTTCATTTCATGAAAGTAAATCAAATGCAACTGTATAATGTCTGGGAACTTTAAATAAGTAAATTTTGCAACAAGGAAATTAGGAAAACTACATCGTTGAAAAAATACTTCACTCTGGTGGATTTACACTGTATTAAATATAATTAAATATAACCTTCTTCTTAAAACCTTAATCACCCACCCTACCTATCCCTAACATGTCCCAAGAATTGCCTCTAGAGCCTGGCATGGTGGCTCACACCTTTAATGCCAGTATTCGGAAGGCACAGTCAAGAGATCATTGTCTACACAGTGAATTCCAGGCCAGCTAGGATTACAGAGATACCTTGTCAGAGAAAATGATTCTAGATCTGGCTTTTACTAAGCTCTTGCCCAGGATTTCTTTTTTCTGATATTTCTGTGGCATCTTCACATATCTCTTATGAAAAAAGCTTCTGATAAAAACATTTCTAAACACCATCACAAATTAATAGTTTTTAAAAAATTATTACATCTTATTGTATGCATGTGTGCATACAGAGGAAGAATAGAAGAAAACTTGCAGAAGTTAGCTCTTTCCTTCCACCATGCAGGTCCTGGGGAATTGAACTCAGATTGTCAGGCTTGGCAGCAAGTGCATTTCCCAACTGAGATACCTCGTTGACTCTACCTCTTCCTTTAAAATAGTAGCTACAGGGGTGGGAGATGTGACTGGTGGCTAAGAGCACTGGCTACTCTTCCAGAGGACCAGATTCAGTCCCATCAGCCTTCCTCTCCTTAAAATGGGAATGATAGGTCTTGGCACCCCAGACACCTAGGGAACCACGACTGCTTCCTAATCCCTTGCATCCAGACCAACTCAGTTCCATCTAAGGTCCCCAGGAGCACTGCTTCTGGGCCTGGCCCCGCCCTCACCTCCCTTTGCTCCCCTGGACCTGCACTACCAGCAGGACTCTCTCCCACCTGCAGGCCTCTCTCTCCAGGGTAAGTTGATCATGCCCTCTGCGCCTTGAATCCCCCAACCTCATTCACCCTCCCATCTCCCCAGCTGGTCTCTCCTCCTAGCCTGGGTCCTGTGCCATTCCTTGTCTTGGCACCCCAGACACCTGGGGAACCACCATTGCTTCCTGATCCTTTGCATCCAGACCAACTCAGTTCCTTCTGGGATCCCCAGGAGCACTCTGAGCCTGGCCCCACCCTCCCCTCTACTTCCCTGGGCGTGCACCACCCACCAGCCTCTTTCCTGGATGACTGGGCTGACCTTCCCTCTTCCTTATCCTTTGCATCCAGACCAACCCAGCTCCTCAGTGCAGTCCCCAGGAGCCCGTGGGGCCACTTCCTGGCCCCATCTTCCTTTGTATCTCTGGGTGGCACAGCCACCAGCTTCCCTAAACCAGCATTCTTCCTGAACCAGGCTCTCAGGCCAGACCAACCCCCAAATTCCTGAGGCCAAAATCTTTCCTGGAGGGATCCAGACCTTAGGAGAAAGCCTGAGAGCATCTGATCCACTTCTGACTTGGGTCTCTGAGGGAACTCCTGAAGACAAAAGCAATCTGGCTACTCCAATATAAAATCAAAAGAGAGAATTGGAAGCTTAGAGGAACGAGATTTTCATGCCAAAAAACTAAACCACAAAGACACATAAAGTTCACAAACAGAAGTAGACCTAAACTTGAAGGCTTGAGTCTCAGACAAGAATCAGAAACTATGGAAGAAATTCACATGTCAAAATCACATAGAAAAAATAATAACATGAAAAACCAAAATAACATATCCCCACCAAATACCAGTAGTCCTCTAGAGAA